CGTCGCGTGCGTGGGTTCGTGCATGCGTCGCGTGCGTGGGTTCGTGCATGCGTCGCGTGCGTGTGTCCGTGCGTGCGTCGCATGCATGTGTCCGTGCGTGCGGTGCGTGCGCGTGTCCGCGCGTACGTCGCGTGCGTCCGTCGCGTGCGTGCGTTCGTGCGTCCGTCGCGTGCATGCGTCGCGTGCGTGTGTTCGTGCGTCGCGTGCGTGTGTCCGTGCGTCGCGTGCGTGTGTCCGTGCGTGTGTCGTATGCGTGTGTCCGTGCGTGTGTCGCATGCGCGTGTCCGTGCGTGTGTCGCGTGCGTGTGTCCGTGCGTGCGTCGCGTGCGTGGGTTCGTGCATGCGTCGCGTGCGTGTGTCCGTGCGTGCGTCGCATGCATGTGCCCGTGCGTGTGTCGCGTGCGTGGGTCTGTGCGTGCGTCGCGTGAGTGTGTCCGCGCGTGTGTCCGTGCATGTGTCCGTGCGTGTGTCGCATGCATGTGTCCGTGCGTGCGGCGCGTGCGCGTGCCCGTGCGCGTGTTCGTGCGTGCATCGCGTGTGTGCGTGCTTGCTTGTGTCCGTGCGTGTGTCGCATGCGCGTGTCCGTGCGTGTGTCGCATGCGCGTGCCCGTGGGTGTGTCGCGTGCGTGTGTCCGTGCGTGCGTCCGTGTATGCGTCGCGTGCGTGTGTCCGTGCGTACGTCGCGTGCGTCTGTCCGTGCGTGCATGCGTATGCTAGTGCGTCGCATGCGCGTGTCCGTGCGTGCGTGATTGTGTTCGTGCATGCGTTCATGTGTGCGTGCGTGCGTGTAACCACCTTGATATCTATCCTACTACAGCGTGCTACTCGGACAGTGAGCAGCGACGATACGAGCACGGTGATGCGGTGATGACCTCTGACCCCTGCCTGCACTGCCGCTGTCGACGCGGCCTCATCGCGTGTGCGTCGGAGCAGTGCGGCTACCCTCCCCTGCCGCACCCGTCCTGCAGCACGCAGCGCATCCCCGGCACCTGCTGCGGAGCAACGATCTCATGCCGTGAGTGTTAACTACGCTCTCGCTCGCTAGGTGGCGTCGGGCCGAGCAACTAGTATGTACGTGGAGTTCTTGCTCGAATCCGTTAATACAACTCGGCTGTCATTGTAAAATCTCACTAATACCAGGCAGTTGCCTGCGTTTGAAAAACAACAACAATCAGAATAGAGCCCAGGAATAGATGCTCTATTCCTATCCTCTAGAGGAACAAAATATCGGAGAAGGTATCGGATTTTTGTCCTCCTGAGCGACAGAAAACGAAACTCGGTAAATGGCGGCGAATGTCCAAGTAAAGTAATGTCCGAGGTCCAAGTGAGAAAGTCCATATAGGACCGAGGCGGAGAAGCCTAATGTGATTGCATTGTAGTTACGATATGTACATCATATATGTGCGTTGGTCGCATGATATTGGGCGATTTCTTGTTCATCGTTGTGAGCGCGTAGTCAGTTGTATTCCAGTATGTCAAATGTGAGACAGAGGAAAAGAGAGAGAGAGAGAGAGAGAGAGAGAGAGAGAGAGAGAGAGAGAGAGA